TGCCGCCAGGGACTCAGAGAAGGCTTCGGGGAGAAGGCAGCCGCCCACCGGAAGGAGAGGGAGAACTTCAACAGTTGGAGGCGGAGGAGAGGAGAGCGAGTGTGCGGGAGAAGGCCGCGTCTGCCCCCTCACCGCATCCCTTTCCCTGCTTTTCCTGGCCCAGCTGTCTCTCCGGACCGTGAACTCCTCGCGATCTGCCTATGCCTGCTTCCTCTTCGCCCCACTCTTCTTCCAGCAGTACCAGGCGGCCCCCCCTGGTCAGGAAGCCCTGCGCTGTAAGATCCTGATGAAGGTGAGTGCCGCCGCCCTGGGATGTGCCTGCTCTGGGACACTGAGTGGATACAACTGGGAAGAGATGTGCTGCGGGAGCGAGCCCGTGTCGGATGCAGTGAGGGCCACAGTAAAGACATCACAGAGCATAATGGGAGATACGGAGAGGGTGGCCGATTCTGCCAGGGTTTGGAGAGAGTGGTGACATCCAAGTTGGTCCTTGAAAGGTACATAGATCTTTCAGGGTATCCCAGATGCGCGTAACCGCACAAACAAACGCCCGGAAAGGCGTAAATGTTCTGCGTATCATGGAGCTCCTTTCCTGGTGTGTCGGTGCCGAGCCTGGGACGGCCGGGTCCCCCAGGGGATGTGAGAGCTGGTTGGTGGAGGCACAGCACCGAGCAGGTGGGTCCCCCCCCTCCCCCCAGTCGTTCCTGTCCGTCTTCCGCTCACTGGCGATGGTGGAGAAGACTGTGGAGAGATGCTGCATCTCGCTGAATGGCAGGAGCAGCCGCCTGGTGGTCCAGCTGCACTGCAAATATGGTGAGCGGGCAGCCGGCTGGCCGAGGGGTCCCAGGTTGCGGGGTGGGGGGGGGAGGTGAGCGAGACCCGCTGAGACCCCGTCTGCCCATCCAGGGGTGAGGAAGACCCACAACCTGGCCTTCCAGGACTGTGAGTCCCTGCAGGCGGTCTTCGACCCAGCATCGTGCTCCCATGTGCTCCGGGCCCCCGCTCGGTGAGTGTGTCCTCCGGCTCCAAGCTGGGTCGTGAGTCCAGCTTCAAGGGTCAGTTTGAGGAGATGCCTTCTTCATTTTCTCTACCTTTGCTGTCAGGGCCTGGTCTGGCTCTTCAAGGGCAGAGGCGAGAATGGAGGAGGGCACTGCCCTGTGCTCCTCACTGTCTTCGGGAGCCTGTGTTCTCCTTCCCAGAGGTGCAGCTTGGGTTTCTGGCCATTCAGACCCCTCCTGACTCCTCTTTTAGGAAGCAGGTCTTTGAGGCACCAGAGTGGCATCTGACTCTTGACTTTGGCTCAGGTCATGATCCCAGGGGTCATGGGATCGAGCCCCACGTCGGGCTCTGTGCTGGGTGTGGAGCCTGCTTGGGATTTTCTCCCTCTCTGTCTGTCCCTCCCCCACTTGCACTGTCTCTCTCTCAAAATCAACTTTAAAAAATATTTTAAAAAAAGCAAGCAAGTAGGTAAATCCTCTCTTTCTGGCCTGAGCAGCCTTGACCGCCCGTCTTTAAGCTTTGCGGCTCAGGAGCTCAAAACCCTTGTCTGGTGTGGTCATCCTTCTTTTCCTACCTGCCTGGACTGTAGATTTAAGGTGCCTGCAGCCCCAGGAAGGAGGTCGGACAGGGAGGTCATGGTCCAGGAAGGCTGTGTGAATAAACAGCCATGGCGGTGGGGCTGCGTTCTGGGAAAATCTGAGCATCCAGGGGCCGTGCAGGACGTGGGAGATGGGGGCTCCAGTGGAGAAGACTAGTGTGGAGAGGAGTAGCTCCCCTCCCACCCTCTGCTGGATGCTGCTTGCATTTGAGTACCCCAAGGTCATGTTCATTTCTTTTGGTAGCCCTGAGGTGTGGTCATTTGAAGTTCCCTTTGAGGCCTTACAGGCTATTTTTCTGAGTTCTGTTGGGATCGTGCTGCTCAGGACTCCACTGGGTAAAGAAGGAGGGAAGGGCCTCACCTGTAGTCTGGAGTTTGGTGCTATTTTTTCTCTTAATGAGCAATTGGGTTTTTTTTCCATGCACAATTTCAAATATGTGTAAAAGCAGGTGCCTATTCCTGTCTCAATTGTCTGGAGGCAAATTCCAGATGTAATCTTGTATGCACATACTTGTTAACAGTATCTCTAAGAGACAAAGGTTTAAGGCCTTTTCCTGAGGGCCGAGTTTATAGGGATGATCTGCTGTGGCTTCCTCGTGGGCAGATACTACCTGCCTGGTTTGGCCTGTGCAACAGCCCAGCAAACGGCCCGCCCTTCCTGTTACCTCCTCTGGGTCCTGCTCTGGTCTGCCCCGTCCCTTGCGGTGGACTTTTCTCCAACAGCCTGAAAGCTTCAGATGGGGTGGGAACCATGTCCCGCTCACCCTGTCCTCCTTCCCAGGGCACGCTAGGCCCGGCACCTGGTGGCTGCCCGTACGCTAGTACACGGGTCAAGCCCTGCCTCAGCTCACGGAGAGCAAAGCCACCGGGCAGGGCAGGGCTGGGCCTTGGGCGTGATGCTGTGCCCTCCTCACAGGGTCTTGGGGGAGGCCGTGCAGCCCTTCCCCCCTGCACTGGCAGAAGTGACGCTGGGCATCGGCTCTGGCCACAGGGTCATCCTGCGTAGCTACCTGGAGGAGGAGGCAGGTGAGGCAGCCAGACACAGCCTGGGATGACTCAGGGCTGGGCGGGGGGTTGCGGAGCTGGGGTAGGAGGGGATAGGGCCCAGGGGCCTAGGCTCCTCCTGTTCCTGCCTCCACAGACAGCGCTGTCAAAGCCATGGTGACGGAAATGAGCATTGGGGAGGAGGACTTCCAACAGCTGCAGGCCCAGGAAGGGGTGGCCATCACTTTCTGCCTCAAGGAATTCCGGGTGAGTTTCCCCTCCAACACACTCCCCACCCGGCCCTCCCAGCCCCGCCCCGGGCCTCACTGCTCTGCCTCTCCCCTCCCAGGGACTCCTGAGTTTCGCAGAGTCTGCAAACTTGTCTCTTAGCATTCACTTCGATGCACCAGGCAGGTAATGCCCAGCCTCGGTCTGTGGGAGGGGAGGCTCTGGGATGCTGGGAGCCAAAGGGCCCTGACCACGCCCAGGACCTGTCATCTGCCTAGGCCAGCCATCTTTGCCGTCAAGGACTCCCTGCTGGACGGACACTTCGTCCTGGCCACAATGTCACAGTCGGACCTGCACTCCCCGGAGCTACACAGGCTGGCGCCTCCACTCCAGGCTCCCAGGTGAAGGTGCCCCCCCACCTGACCACTCCTCCCCACTCCCGTCTCCGGGTACCCCGGCCCGAGCCTGCTGCTGCGGCTAGGCTCGGGTGCCACCCCCAGCACACACACTTCCTGTCGAGCCCCAGCCCCTACAGCGCTCACAGCGCCTTCCAGCCCTGCAGCCTCAGCCTTCCTGATCAGCTGTGCTCAGAGATCCCTCCCACCCCAGGAAGTGTCCCCAGGGTCGGGCTGGCTTCCTTCTCTGGCTGAGTCTTCCCCTCCGAGTCTCTTCCCAGGCCAAGGAGGGAACAGGCTGCCGGGAGGCAGGGAGCTGCCTGGGGCTGGGGAAAGCAGGTGGCTGGAAGGGCAGGTGGGGTGTGGAGGATGGGCCCAGTGTAGTTGAAACAGAGGAAGTTTAGTCTGGCCCCCCGCCCAGCACGTCCCTGGGCCCCCGCGCTCTCCAGCTCTGTCTCCTGGGAAGGCGGGGGCTTTGGCCCCAGGTGGTCGAGCTCAGAGGATTTGATGCTCCCCTCCCCAAACTGAGCTCAACTGGGTCCCAGGATGGCTCCCTCAGGCCCCGATCTGAGCTCTGATCAATTGGCTTCCAGGTCCACTCCCTGCGGGAAGCCTCCACTTAACCACCTCATCTTTTCCCTCCAACTAGATGAGAAAGTAGCAGAGCCAAGAGATCACTGGTCACAAAGCTTTTACAGCCCGAGTCCTCTAAGGTGGGGCCCTGCCTCTGTACCCTCTCTTTTCCCTGTTCCTCGCTGACCGCCCTGTCCCTGCCTACAGCACACCCCACCTGGATGACTTTGCCAGTGACGACATGGACTCTTACATGATTGCCATGGAAACTACTGGGGATGGTGAGGGCTCCCGGGCAGTACCCTCCATGTCCCTTTCACCCGGCCACCAGCCCCCCTCTAGCCCAGGCCCCTACTCAGAGGACAACGAAACCGAGCCCAGTACAGAGCCTGGGACTCCCCCACCCAAGAAGGTAGGGGCTGGACATGGAGACAGCGGTGGGAGGCGAGGGAGGAGCGGCCTCCAGAACTCACTCTGCTTCCTCTGCTCCCTTTCAGTTCCGCTCGCTGTTCTTTGGCTCCATCCTGGCCCCCGCACACTCCCCTCCCGGCCCCAGCCCTGTGCTGGCTGAAGACAGTGAGGGTGAAGGCTGAAGTGAGAACCAAGCCTGTGTCCAGAGGCCCTGGACTAGATGAAGCCACAGCCTCCCCCACCCCCAGAGGGCTGCGTCTCTACCCTGGGGGGTGGTAAAGGTGGGCTGTGCTGGAGCCGAGCCCATCGGTCCTGCCCCCACCCCAGACCCCTCCCAGCTGCCTGTGACCAGCCTGGGTCCTGTCTTCTCTCACCAACTCCCAAACAATCATGTCTATTCCCAGGCTTGGCACCGAGTTGCCACCTGATGGGAGGTCCCTCACCTGTTACTCCCTGTAGGCCTTCAGGCCAGACTCCTAACCACGTAGCTAGGGCCGGACACGGCTTCCCGAAGACAGAAGTCAGAGGGGCTGTTGGCCCCTGCCGGTCTGCCTTCTCTGCCAATCATGACGTGTCCCTCCCTTAAATCCCGGTCACACCTCTGGGATCCCTTGTGGCCAGCAAACTATTTTTCTCGCTTTCTCTACGCTGTCTGGCCCTGGTTTGGTATTCTAAGCCCCTGTGGAGCCGAGCCTGTGGCTGGGGTTGCCCTGGCTGGCGCCCCATGCCCAGCGAGCCTGTCCTCCCAAGTGGCTCTGGGCAGAAGGGCTGCCAGGCTCAGTATTTGCGACAAGGGAGACAGAGGCCGTGGCGAGAATCCAGCTTTGACCTTTATTCAAGAGACCAGATGGGTTGCCCCAGGATCTGTCTGCTGGCCCTGCGGCCAAGCAAGGCTGGAAACCCACATCTGGCCCTGCTTTGCCCTGAGCTGCAGCCTCGGCCCCAGGATGCTGCCTGTCCCCACTGCCGGTGCAGGCGGAAGGAGCCCTGGGGGATTGGACGCTGCTATTGATTCATTAAAAAAAAAATATACCAAGGCTCCGTGTTCCCCGTGACAGGTGGGCCTTGAGGGGGGGAGCAGCATGAACCCCCCCCCCACCAATGGCCACATAATTTCTGTACAATCCACCATCTGGGGCAGAGTACGGGCACATGGAGGCTATTTCTTGGCTTTGGCGGAGTTGCGGGGTGGGGTGATGGGCCGGCCTCCAGGGTTCAAGCCACTGAACTGCCCGTATTTCCCCTTGTTCTTGTCGGCGGGCTTGAGGATCTAAAAGAGACAAAGCTGGTCAGGCTCACAGGCTGGGCCATGGGGTAACACGCCCCTTCCTCCCCCATCCGCACCTGGAAGGAGCACATGAGCGTCTCATCCACGCTCATCATGGCGCCTGCGTTGTCAAACTCGCCACAGTAGTTGGGAGCCGAGAAGAGTGTCACCAGCTGCCGCTTGGCAAAGAACTCATAGCCGTCTTCCACCACCTGAGTGAGGACAGGGGCAGTTAGGTCAGCAGGTGCCAGCCATCCGGCCCCGGTCCCCGCCCCCGCCCCCAGCCCAGGGCTGCTGGCCCACCTGGTGCGCCCGGCAGATGAGGTCCAGGTCGTGCTTGTGCAGGAACTTGGCCACTACCTCAGCCCCGAAGGTAAAGGAGACACCACGGTCATTCTCGCCCCAGCCCTGCACGTCCTTGTCAGGGTCAGACCACAGCAGGTCGCAGAGCAGGCCCTGGTCAGGCACGTCTGTTGGCCTCATGATACGCCGAATCTGCTCCATGGACTGCAGGTCTGGGGACAGGCCTGGGGGCGCATGGGGGGAGAGGGGACGCCGGTCACTCCCCTCAGAGGACCCTCAAAGACCTCCTGCTCTGGAAAGCCTTGGCTGGTTGGCCTCCCCCCGCCCCGCCCCCACCTGGCTCTCTGCCAGGGTCCCGGGAGGCCAGGCAGGCAGAAGTCTTCACCTTCTGCCTCTTCAAGTTCCTGCCCTCAAGGACCAAAGAGCTCTCTGAACAAAGGAGACAAAGTCCATTCACGATGCCAAAGCCAAAACGGGGGTGAGTGCGACGTAACACGGGAGTGTGTGTGTGTGGGGGGGGGGGGGCCTTCCTGGAAGAAGTGACATGCAAACCAAGACCCCTTCCCAAACATTCCTTCCACACGTGCCTCAGAGCCACCCTCACCTCCATGGCAGCAGAAGATTTTCTCGTCCACAATGGCAGCGATGGGCAGGCAGTTGAAGCAGTCGGTAAAGGTTTTCCACAGTTTAATGTTGTAGCGCCTCTTGCCTGCCAGGAGGGAGAAGCCTCATGAGGCCTATCGCCAACCCCCCCACCCCGGCCGCTGGGCCCTTTGCAGGCCGCTCAGACACAGCTGGGAGAAGAGTGGAGGGCGAGAAGAGAAGCCCCCCTCCCCCCACTCCACTGTCTACCAGCCGTCCTAGAAGAATTGTATCCTAGAAGAATTCTAACGCAGCCCAGGGCACAGGAGCCTGAGTTCCGACAGGGAACGGCCCGCCCCCACCCGGCGAGCAGGGCCAGGCCAAGACTAGGTCTGGTTTATCTCAGCTGGTGGACAGAATCCAGTCCAAACAGGCATCCCAAGTGCTTAACGGATGTACTGGCGGGGAGTGCCATCAGGCAGGGGCCTGCAGTAAAGTGTGTGCCATCCTCCGTCAACAGCCACTCGCCAGACCCCTGCGGAGTGCCAGGCCCTATGCCGGGAGGGCAGGGTGGGGAGACAGGGCCTGGTGCACACCCTCCACGGAGCTCGCAGAATGCAGGTACCTGTCAAGACACTAACACCTCTACTGCCAGGACAACGCGAGGGCCCCACTGAGCAGCGGAGTCCCTTCCGGACTGGGGCAGCCCCAGATACTCTGGCTACTCACACTCATCATAGAAACCATAGATGCGGTTGATGCTGGCACACTCGTGGTTCCCACGGAGCAGGAAGAAGTTCTCGGGGTACTTGATCTTATAGGCCAGCAGCAGGCAGATGGTCTCCAGAGACTGCTTGCCCCGGTCCACGTAGTCCCCCAGGAAGAGGTAGTTGCTCTCCGGAGGGAAGCCGCCGTACTCAAACAGCCGCAGAAGATCGTAGTACTGGCCATGGATGTCACCTGTGACCCAGGGAACCTGTTCAGCGCTAAGTGCAGAGGCTCCACTTGAACCCAGAACCAAGTCTGGGCTCCAGGGAAGAGCAATCCAAGGACTTGGGGGACAGGGGCGGGGNGGGGGGGGGGGGGCCGGCTAGGGGAGGAGATTCCACTTTCGGAAAGGAAAAGGGACCTGGGCAGGAGGCTCACCGCAGATCTTGAGGGGTGCCTCCAGCTCCAGAAGAATGGGCTGGCTCAGGAAAATCTCCCTCGATTTGAGGCACAGACCACGGATCTCGTTTTCTGTTAGCTGCACATTCTTCCCAGGCCGCGAGCCCTGCACTGGGGGCGGAATGGGGCGTCAAGACTCTGGTTCCTCAGGCAGGAGGAAGGTGGGCGACACAAGTGGCCCTGTGGGCACATCTGGGGGCGCATGGGCCTTCTGGGCCCCTCCTTGCCCAGGGGCAGCTGTCGCTGCTGAGACTCCCAGGACCTCCGCCTCGGGCCTCTCAGGATGGGACCCCTCCGGGGGTAAGGGGTTGCTGTGCGCCGGGGCCTGCCATCCAACACCCCACCCCGAGGCGCAGGACCCCTGGGAGGGGTGGAGCTAGGCTTCTTAGGTTTCTCCCTCGCCCCGAGAGCGCAGGCCAACCTGGGCGCCCCGGCCCAGGAGAGGGGGCTGTCCCCTGGTGCCAGAGGGTCCCTGGAACCCCCCAAACGCGCTGCGACTGGGGGGGCAGCCGCAGCGGCGGGACCTCGCGGCCCGTCCCCGCCCAGTCTAAGCTGGCCCTGGGAGGGGCAGGCTCGCCCGCGCACCACTTCCGGGCCAGGCAAGGGGCCCGGGCAGGGCAGGCGCCGAACTCCCCCGCCCCGGCCAACCTTCCAGCAGGCGCCCGATGATAGAGTCCAGGTTGAGCTTCTCGCTGTCGGACATGGCGGCGCCGCCGCTCCGGCCCAGCAGCTCCGGGCCCACTCCTGCCGCCCGCCCTCCCGCTGCCTCCTTCCGGCCTGGCGCTCCTTCCGCCCGCCCCGGCCCGCCCCGGCCTGCCGCCCCGCCTCCTCGGCCTCCCGCCCCGCCCCGCGCGCGCCGCCCCCGCGCTCGAGCGCCCCCGCCGGACGCCGGGAGCAGCGGCCGCGGCGGGCCGGGGGCGGGGCGTAGGGGCGGGGCGGGGCTTGGGCTGAGTTTGGTGTGTCCCGGACGGAGCCCGGCCAGTGGGTGGGGCCTGGTGGGGCGGGGTTGAGTCTGGTCCCTCCCCTGAGGAGTTACCGGGTCCCGTTCCGAGGATATGGGACCGGAAGTACTGTGGAAGTTGTTTTTCTCTATCAAAGCCTGACCAGTCCTTCCCGCCCTGGGCGGGAGTGTGCTGTGAGCACGTTAATAACTGTGTCCCCATACACTACGGACTGAGTCCCCAAAGTGCAGAAAAAGAAACTGAGGCTCAGAGATAGCAAGGGGCTGGGCCAAGACCCCAGCTTCACATTCATGGAGGACCTTTACCTCCTGAGTTTTTGTGGCCCCCAGGCAGCTGTCCAGACCCAGACACCCGCCGCTGCACGCTGAGCCCATTTTGATCCACACTGTGGTGAACGCTAAATTAATATTGTTTTATAAGTTCCATCATTGCCTCCTGAGTGCATAATAACAGTGCATTAGGTGCGTGTTCAAAGCATTACTTTGTAAAGAGCAAACTATAATAAACCATAATTCTCACTAGAATCCTGAGTTGTTTTACGTGACGGTAACCTCAAAATTGGAGGCGGCCTGGCCTGTGTACTTCTGGTGAGCCCTGGCCCCTTCACACCCGGGCAGAAACCTAAGCCTGCAGCCATCCAGCCCACGGGGCCCACGGGGAGCCCACGGGAAGGGTGGGAGGAGCCCACAGCACTGGGGCAGACCGGAAGAGCCTCGGAGAGGAAGGGGTGACCCCCCCCTCCGGAGGGGAGTGTGGGAGGGGCCCCCCAGCGGGTTGCTGTCTGCCACTGAGGAGGAAGTGAAAGGAGGAGGTGAGGTGCAGCAGGGAGGTAAGCTGGGCTGGGGGGGCAGAGGCTGGGCCTGGGGCTGGGCCTCTATCCAGAGGCCTGGCTTTTCTGCCACTTCAGGGCCCAGGTTCCCCTCCCCCAATAAAAGGGGTCAGAAGGAGCGTGGTGAGATACCCTGAAGCCTCTTCCCTCTGAACCCCACAGCCAGGTCCCCAGGCTGGGGACTGGCTGGATGGGAGCTCAGGCCCCAGGCTGGTCAGGAGCTGCCTCTCACCCTGGCTCTTCCCCACGTCTTGCAGCCTGCTGTAGCGGGGGTCCGGGGCACCATGGCCCAGGCCCTGGGGGAGGACCTGGTGCAAACTTCAGAGCTGCAGGATGACTCCAGCTCTTTGGGATCCGACTCAGAGATGAGTGGGCCCGGCCCATATCGCCAGGCTGACCGCTATGGCTTCATCGGGGGCAGCTCAGCAGAGCCGGGGTAAGTGGGGGAAGGGATGAAGGGCAGGGGGTGCTGGGGTTGAGGATGGGGGACTGAGGGCTGAATTTTAGAGAGAGGCTCAACCTCGGGGGTCCTAGAGGGTCTGGGGACTCAGCCAGTGTCACCCCTACTCACACTCCAGCTAGCATCGTAAAGCCGGCAGGGCTGAGGCAGGAGCGTCCCTAATGTTGTCTCTTTCACCCTGAACCTCCAACGCTTTGCACCCATCCTTAAGGCCAAACATCCTTCCTCTTTTAACCTCTGCCCCAGTAATCCCAGAATCTAACCCAAGAACCGCACCGCTTCCCCCACCCTCTCCCTTTCCCAGTATACAGACAGGAAAACAAGTGCAGATAGGAACTTGCCCGCGGTCACACCGCAGACCAAATGGAACCAAATTCAAACGCTGACTCCTGGCTTCTAGTCCGGAGCTCAGTCCACTTAGCTTCTCTTACGAGTGGTCTGTGTTCCTACCCTGGGGGACACAGGGGGACAGCCAACCGGCCCCTCCCCCTCCCCCTACCTACACACCCCCCTCAGTCTCTCCTGCTTCTACCCACATCAGAGCCACATCCTTTGCTGTCTCTATGACAACCACTGGCAACTCCTGGGTGACAGGTCACCCCCCCAGGGCTCCCCAGAGATCTCCAGGGCCAGGGGCTGAGTTTACCTGGGTAGCATGAAGGGTGACAGATGTGGGTAACAGCTAGCCCACACCTCGACGCCTGTGTCATGTGTCCTCAGGCCAGGTCACCCTCCTGCGGACCTCATCCGCCAGCGAGAGATGAAGTGGGTGGAGATGACCTCACACTGGGAGAAAACCATGTCTCGGCGGTACAAGAAGGTGAGGAAGGATGGCTCCCCGCAAGGCCCCTTGGCTTCCCCGCCCCCCCTTTGTCTCTGCCCGCGCCCTGGCAAAATTTACCCCTCCCGGATCCCCTACCGCCCAAAGCGACCCTTGCCCCAGTACAGGCTGGGGCTTGGGACCTGCCAACAGAAGCAGGAGACGCTGGCCTGGCTGTTGTAACCTCGGCCTCCCCTGCAGGTCAAGATGCAGTGCCGGAAAGGCATCCCCTCAGCCCTGCGGGCGCGGTGCTGGCCTCTGTTGTGCGGGGCCCACGTGTGTCAGAAGAACAGCCCCAGCACCTATAAGGTAACAGGTGGCAGGGCTCCTGCCTGCCCTTCCCAGAGCTCCTGGCCACTCGGAGCCCTCACAGCCACCTTCCTGTCCACCCACAGGAACTGGCCGAGGCTCCTGGCGACCCGCAGTGGATGGAGACCATCAGCAGGGACCTGCACCGCCAGTTCCCTCTGCACGAGATGTTTGTGTCACCTCAGGGTCACGGGTAGGAGGCCAGTGACCCCCAGGGACCTCCAGCCCCACAACCCCCAGGGACTTCAGCCCAGGCCCCCACCTCAGCTTTATATCCTTACATCTCAGGGGACCCAGTGAAGCCCCCCACCCCGGGGGGGGGAGGGGTTCCTGGAGGACCGCCCCCTAACGGGGTCTTCTGGCACAGGCAGCAGGGGCTCCTGCAGGTGCTCAAGGCCTACACGCTGCACCGGCCGGAGCAGGGCTACTGCCAGGCCCAGGGCCCTGTAGCCGCCGTGCTGCTCATGCATCTGCCCCCAGAGGTGAGTGCCCTAGACCCTGCCCGCGGGACTCGAGACCCCGATGCCCCAACCTCAGTGATCCGTGACCCCCAACCCCAGGAGCTCTGGACGCAGCGATGTGGGATCCTCGACTCCCATATCCTGTCCTAGTGACCTGGGGTCTCATGACTGCCAACCTCCATGACCTTGAAGCCCAACGACCTTGACTCCAGAAGCCTGGGCCCTTGGCCCCTGCCCCCTGCCCCAGTGATCTAAGAATCTGGATGTCATCACCTTGACTTCACGGCTCCTGATTTTGAGCCCTGGGACCGTGATTTCTGACCCTATGACCCCAAGAACTCAGGACTTGAACTGTGGGACCCTCCCAACCCTTGACCAGTGAGCCCCAACTCTGTGACTCTGAAAATCCATACTGTGAGGCCTGTGACTTCAGGCTTCCTAAACCCATCAGAGGCCTCTGTCTGGGCAGTGAGGAGGCCTTTGGTAAGAGCCTGAGTTTGGGCTCCAGGCTCCAGAGTCACAGCCCCTCCCCTGTGCTCCTTTCCCCTGCCCTGCGCGTCCCTCTGCGGGCCCTGAGCGGCATTCATGGCCTGTGGCCCTTCCGCAGGAGGCCTTCTGGTGCCTGGTGCAGATCTGCGAGGTCTACCTCCCTGGCTACTACGGGCCCCACATGGTGAGCGGCTGGAGGGGGCCGGAGGGCACAGGGGACGGGCTGGGCAGGCAGGCAGGGGTGGACTGGGAGGGACAGAGCCCGGGGTTCGGGAGTGGAGGTGCTGACGGATGGACGGATGGGGCCGCAGGAGGCTGTCCAGCTGGACGCTGAAGTGTTCACGGCCCTGCTCCGGCGGCTGCTCCCGCGCGTGCACAAGCACCTACAGCAGGTGGGCGTCGGGCCCCTGTTGTACCTGCCCGAGTGGTTCCTGTGCCTCTTCGCCCGCTCCCTGCCCTTCCCCACAGTGCTGCGCGTCTGGGATGCCTTCCTCAGCGAGGGTGAGTAGGCAGCTGGAGGCGGGGCGTGGCCGGGGCTGGGAGCCTGGGGGTGCACACGGTGGCGGGGGGGGGGGGGGGGG